ATAAATAATGACCGACCCTTATACACTCGAAACTTCCATCTACAATATCCTTCAACGGTAAGACCCATTTCCACTCAGGAAAATTTTCCGCAGAAAAAAATTTTTGTAAAATGCAATCGGCTGACACAAGTTTTCCGTCGGAAAAAAATTTTCAAGTTGAAAATTTTCAACTTTTAACAATGGTATTTTCGGAACATTTTCTGTCCGTGGAAATTTTTCTTGAGTGGAAATGCGTCTTAACTCGTTAGCTGAATCGAGTGAGATAACCATGCAGAAATCCTGGTATTTAAGTGTAACATCATAATTCACAATAAAAAAAAATAAATAAAAGCGACAACACCAATACAGGCAATAGACAATACATGTCTGCAATCACTGGTAGGCTCAGCCTCAGGGTTGAAGTGCGACTAACCGCTAATATGATTTTTTGTATATGTAATATTTGGGTCATTCGAAGAAGAAATGTACTGTACATGTACCTTTATAATAAAAAACCCATCTTGATAAACGTTTTTGCTGTCAAAATTTCCGGATATGATGTCATTAGGTAAATTGCAAATTAGTTTTTCTTTGTTTTTTTTTTTACCAAAAATTCACCCAAATGACCTAACGACATCATATCTGGAACTTTAACGGTGAAAAAGTCGATCAGGACGGGATTTTTTACTATAAAGATACATTACATTTCTTTTCAGAATGACCCAAATTGCTATAGGAGTCAGTGTACCAGATAGAACATTTTATTATCCGGCTGGATACCGGATATGGCGGATAATCTGAGAAGGTTCAGGCCTAATCATTCAAGGTGAAATAATTATTTTCATTGGTTATAAAGTGTTTGAAATGATAGGAAAGAACCTCACAGTCCAACATCAATAAACATACATGCATGCTGCATGCTTGCTCAAAAAGTTCCAATTTCAAACCCACTTTTTTGCATTTGCAAGCGAGCATGAAAAATCTTGAAAATAATGCCAGCTTCTCTACGATCTTTTCTGACTTTTCAAGTACAAATATGGTACATACTCGTACTTTTAAACCATATTTACATCATTTATAACCTGAACAGAAGGCCTGAACCTTTATCAAACAATAATGAGATTATCTCACTACCCGGCCCAGATGTCCGGGTGGAATAAGCTGGATATGATATCAAGTGCATTCAACACATTGCAAAAATCAACATGTAAACCCGATGTTGAAAGCCCTTGCAGCGAGCTTATGACGAAGTTAGCCAGTGCCGCATACTGTATCGGCGTCGAACGCTAGCTAGCAAAGCTAGGTTTAGGTGTGATTTTGAAAATCCCCATGATATGAAATTCCCAGGTCACCGTTGTGGTCTAAATATCACCTCAGTTTCTTCAGATTCGGCAGGAATGTCTTGAAGTTCCACAAAATCTTCCAAATGTCGAAGATGAAATTTAGATACTTGATTTTGTGTCAACATATTGATGACTCTGTATCCTTGAACGACCTCGAATGTGACAAACAAAGCGAAAACAATATGTACAGCTCTTTCCAAGGGCAGTATGATCGCAGCTTCATTCAGTAAGAGAAGCAATGTTAATGGTAGTTGTAATAGCAGTGTGAGTAACCAAAATCCAGCTAGTTCTGGAACCTAGGAACACAAATCAGAAGTTGCTTGCTAATCTTCAAGTGATGTACAAAATGCGCAAGTTGGTACAAGACTGATGCTTGTGATGTTACTCTGAGTGTATATCCACACCGAGCAAGCTTGAAAAATATGCCTGTCCACGGTGTTGTAACAAGATTGTTGCCAAACCGACACCAGGATATGTTCGCACTGCTTGCCGGTTATCAAGAAGTAAATATGATCTCCTTGTTACAAGGTAGATGAAGGTAACAGGCTTGTTACAAATTGTTCCAGCAAGACTAATATAGGCTGTTCGATCGTAACAAGTGGGACGTAACAAGTGGGTATGCGCGGACGATACCAGACTCATTGGAACAACTTGTTGCGAGTCTGTTGGCTTCATCAACCTTGTTACAAGATGAAAACAACTTGTTCCAACAACCAGGAACAGGCAGTGCGAACACATCTAACATCTTGTTGACGAGCTGTGATTAGCCTCCTCCACAGGCATCTCACCAGGGGATTTTTTTTCGAACACCCATTCGCAGGCTAAAATCCCTCGATGCCTGCGGAGGAGGCTAAGCTGGGATATTTTCACCCACGTTTTTTAATGTCTTCAGATATAAATCATGGTAGCTTTAATGATCAAAATTGAATTTCCGGTGTGTTCTGATTAGATTTGTTCACCTGACGATTGTTTGGTTAATGTTTAATATATGTAGAACGATACAATTAGTGTATATATATAATATATATAAGTATTCTGTACCTTTTCATGAAGGTTTCCTGTATTTCCAAGGTAAAGTCTGATAGTCTCAACAATGAGCATTATCACATAGATCACAATCAAGATAAATTTATAGTAGAAGGCAAGGTGATCATACTGCAGGAAAGAAAGACAAACAGCGCATATTACAGCAGCTGTAATGGCTGATTCTGGCTATAGACGAAATTTTGATCTAATTAACAAGAACGAAATCCATTGCCATAGCTGGAAAGAGCATCTTAAAGTGAGTAAAATTGCAAAGTTTGGTTGCGAATTGTTGTAAAATGAGGAAAATATAGCCCGGTGAAGTTCGCAAATTTTGAGCCGAAAGTGGCCCAGAGACGGATTTTCATATTTTCGTTCGGGGGGAGGGTGTGGATAAATATCTGGGGGGGGGTGGTGCTGCTGCTGCTTGCTTTGGCTGGGGCGTGGTGGCAACGCCCGGAAAGGCCAAGGAAAAAGTTTAACGAAATTTGTTTTCTAGGCCTGCATGGCAAGATCTGAGACCATAATATTGGTAATTTTACAAATTTAGTAGTAAGAATAATCAAATATGAAACTATCAAAATATATATAATTTGCGGGGGTGCAAAAACTTTTGGTGGCGGTGCCAAATGCCTCTGGGGGTGCAAATAATTTCTGGGGGGCCTGAAGTGGCCTTGAGAATGTTGAAACGTAATTGTGTCCATTCACGAAATCTCCGTTCAGTGTATTGTTACTTCATCCGACCTGTTTTGGAGTACGCTTGTCCGGTATTGCACTGTTCCTTACCGTAATTCCTAAGTGATCAAGTTGAACATATCCAACGACGTGCAACTAAAGTTATCTGCCTTCCTTGTCGTACAGCCAAAGTCTAACAGAACTACCTACGGCTCTTTGACAGAAGAGAGTCATTATGCAAGCCCTTTAATTTATACGAGCAATTTAAACACTACAAGTAAACTATTTCACCTTTTATCGAAGCCAGTGTACCACCAATACAATTTTAGATACGCACGCAAAATTCCACTGTTTAAATCCCGTACCTAACGTTTTAGTGATAGCTTCCTGCCGTACTGTGTGAAGAAGTGGGATGCCATTTAGGGCGAGTAGTTAAATTTTACTCATGTTTTAAATTTATTATTTTCTAGCTGTATTTTATCGGAACTCTTATTGAAACTTTTTTTAGAAATTGTTGTATCTTGAGTTTTTCAATTTTAATTTGTAAAATTGCCATTCAAGAATTTTAATAATATTAAATCTAATCTAATCATTACTAACTAATCTTATTTTTACCGTGCGTAATACAAATATATACAAAATTTACGAACCGCTTCTCAGGGTTATATTTTCTTCATTTTACAACATTTAGCAACCAATCTTTGCAGTTTTACTCATTCTAAGATGCTCTTTCTAGCTGTGGTGTTGGATTTGCCATAAATAATTCACTTTATTTAGTAATTTTAATCAAAATCACTAATGTTGGCACAGCTGGAGCTCGAGGTTAAGGAAATTAATTCCAGGACTTTCAAGGACTTCTACTGATTTTCAAGGACTTTCCAGAATTTTTTTTCCCAATTCAAGTACCTTCTAGGATTTTCAAGGCCTAAGGTGGGCACCCTGTACATATTAAATGTTTGCCAAAATGAAAAGATGTTCACTAAAGTAAGAGAGGAATGTCTGGCAGCAGGGATGAATTTCCTGGGGGGGGGGGGGGGGGTGGGGGGGGC